CATACAAAAATACACATAATATATTTCTATTTAATTTATTTTATTTAAAAAAAAAAATATTTTAGAGGCATAACAATACAACGACTAGATTTGGTGTCACAGTTTGCTCCCAATTCATACTGGAATATTGCCAGCAATAACTAATAAAGCTTGTTCAGAAAACCATTTATTCCCGACATCATATTCAATGGCTAGTTCTCAGGATCTTCAACAGTAAATAAATAAACAGAAATCATTTTGATGCGTGGTTTTTAGACGACACTGCCATATCGCACAGATATTCAACACCACCATATCGAATTTGGATTTGGCCATACCATTTCAAGCTGCAGGGTGTCTAAACAATGACTCAACAAACAATAAACACATCTCCCACCCACCACACAAATTTTAGCCACAATTGAACAACCAAGAAAGCAACAAATATCAGGCTGCATCTTGAAAACAACGAGATACCACATTACAACCAGTCATTACAAACATGAAATCCTCCACCCCTTCCAGTACACCCTACAGCATTAATATTTATACTGTGATATAGTGTAAAGGGTTTAATTTTCTCTACTAGGAATTTTCACGATTTTATGGGGATTGGGTTTTTTATGTTGCTCTTGGAGACATGATTTCGCTGAAAGTCAGACACACCGTGTCATAGAACCCCCGAGAAGTTTCACTCGTACAAATTTTTGAGATTGATACCGACTATCGATTTCGAAACTCACGTAACATTTGTCTCAAGCAAAATTGAAACGAATTGTAATATACTACTTTGCATCACGTGTACCATGCTCTATTTAAATATATCATCGGAGTGTACTGTGATATATACAACTTGATATCGTGATATATACTCCTAGATATCGTTATGTATGCTACTAGATATCGTGATATATACTCCTAGATATCGTGATATATGCTACTATATATCGTGATATATACTCCTAGATATCGTAATTTATGCTACTATATATCGTGATATATACTCCTAGATATCGTGATATATACTTCCAGATATCGTGATATATACTCCTAGATATCGTGATATATGCTACTATATATCGTGATATATACTCCTAGATATCGTGATATATACTTCCAGATATCGTGATATATACTCCTAGATATCGTGATATATACTTCCAGATATCGTGATATATACTCCTAGATATCGTGATATATACTACTTGATATCGTGATATATACTCCTAGATATTGTGATATAAGCTACTAGATATCGCAATATATACTTCTCAATATCACAGGTTTAGTGCTCTACTTAGTATATTAAAATATCGTTGGAGTTTGCTTTGATACATATTACTTGATATAACAGGTACCGCGCTCTATATTGTCCGAGTGCATTGCAATATTATTACGTTCACCACGTGGAACCAAACACAAACATGTCCTTACACCTGAATATCGAAATACTTGCTCACGAAATTAGATGGACAGTATTGAACTACAGGTGATAAGCACGTTGACAACCGTGCTGGTTATTCCTGTGATTCACTTACCTGAAGCTAGCATGTAACGCGAATCGAACAAGGTATAGATACTCAACCACTTGCATTGGATTACTATCACTGCAAATACGGTCGAAGTTAACGATATCAGAAAACAAGACAGTTGCTTTGTCGTGGTACTGGGCCCCTACAGCTCGGCGATTCATCAATTGCTCTGCTATATTCGTTGGTAACATGGAATGAAGTAGTCGTTTAGAGCGTTTCTTTTCTGCATTCAGGGCTTTAGTCTGCGATGCTACAGTCAGGGCATAGTTCTGAATGTCAGCCGTCAGTCTCCATATAGCACGAAGTGTCAGTGGACACATAATTATAACTACTACCACTAAAAATATGCTTACTGCGATAGAATTTTTATCACTCTTCAGTTCGTCGTCGAGTTTAATCAGTATTTCGTCGGCCATGTTTGTTTGCACATCTGCTAAGATATCAATGTAAACCGTCATGCTATCGAACCAAAGAGCCGCATCTTCAAAGTTCGGCTGTTGACTTCCTTCATCGTTTAAGATTATTTGACGCATGTAGTCAATTGTGTCGGCAAAGCTGCCAGTGATATCGTGTACCTGTTCTGTATACAAACTCTCGACCAGCGGCGTGTACTTCTTGGACACCTGAAAGTTGGTTCTTCCAAGGTTGTACTTCTCTAAATACCATATGTAGTCTTCGATGGGGTCAAACCAACCACGAGAGAAAAAGACCGCACCAAGTGTGCGCTCGGCGCCAGTGTCGATGTTGCCTTCGATGAGGAGTTGGTAGGCGACCAGAATTTGCCAAAAACCCGTTCTTTTCGAATTGCCAATGCTTTCGTACAACCAGTCAATGAAAATACGGATAGCATCGTATCTCATCATAAACTGTTGCGTTTGATTTATCGATTGATGAACGATGTTTCGAAAGGTGTTTGCGGCAATCTTCTTTCTTTCTGAAGAACGGCACGGCTTTCAAAATATTATTTTTCACAGGCCACAACTGGAGTTCGTCAAGCGTGCTATCCGTTAAGGGGTACGTTTTGGTCAGATATGCCGTGTTCTCTGGGCCGATGACGCTGATGTAGAGAGCTGTCATATCTCGTTCACGCTGCAAACGGCTGAGTAGTACACCAATGTCCCGACTGAAGCGGATGACAATGCGTACTTGAATGTCGACAGCGTTACCAGACATTATACCTTGCAAGTCAAGAGCTGCCAGAACCGCCAATGATATAATCGGCACTAGTGTAATCAAAACAATTTTAGTTAACTGAATCCGTTTACCTTGATGAGTAAGAGGATTTTCTTGACATTTGCCGATATCATTTGGCTGAAGTAGCAATTTCCGCACTTTGTCGTCGACGTGTTTCAATGATCCAAATGAACTTGAAGATTGAGAGTTGTTAACATGTCGTCTTCCGCTTTTTTTTTCACGTCGAGGGAGGAGTGTACCGGGGATGTAGACGAGGTTGAAGCATGGCATACTGCGTTGTACTCGATGTATGCGTACATAAGATGGACAGTATCGGATGAGTGACTTGAAAGGCTGCCAATATGACAATGTTGGAAATAATCTGATTATGTGCCAGTCATCGTTGTCTTATCGTAGTAATACGTCACTCTGTCCACGGTTGTCTTCCGTTGCCAACAGAATAACATAGTTTGTAAGGATATACTGAGTCACAATAATTAATTAATACAACCCATAGAAGTGTACTCTAGAAAATAATGCGCCACATAGAATTGGTATATAATTATGGCGTAGTTTTGGCAGAATAAGATAATAAACGTTTTATTTCTTGTAACATGCACATTCTGGTAATTACCCGTAAATTAACTACGCAACGTTCGTTCATCGAACTTGCTATAAATATTTCTTGTTCTGTTTTGAGAATGAATTGTTAGTTTTATTTCGTGTATTTTTTTTAACAAATAAAAAGTCATTGCCAATGTCATAGTCTCCGTTTGTATTGAGATGGATTTGAGAACACAACATAGAACAAATAATATCAAAGAAATTTCGTAGGCACAAAAAACGTATTAGCACGCATATGCAACCAAATCGGTTAAACGATGTTCAAGTGTCATTGGTAAGAACACTTGAAAAGAAATTAACATCACGAAACAAAATGGCGCGCACAAGCCTGAGTGACTTTTATGAGTGAAGTCATTGCCAATAGTTGGTGACACGTTGAAATGTTGTTTTTTTGGTGTAAATATAAAGACCCCAAGTCCAACTACGTTTGTCATGCACTAATAAGACTCCGCCTCTCTCGTCGTTACCGTAGTGTAGCTGTACGTCATTCACCCGGGGTCATTCAGTTCGTAGCTGTATACTTTTGCCTGATAATAACTCAATTATCTGGATGCGCTAATTAAAAAATGATTGACATTTGTATCTGATCGTCAAAAAAGTACTTGTCCATATTGAGAGATATTGCTTTGGAACAGCATTCAGAATCAGCCATTTTGAATACATGTATATATATATAACATGATGTATAACGAATATATAAAATTTGAATATAATCAGTGAAAGCATTTAAGAGATATGGCTCTAGAAGCCCAATCATTAAAACAAAATGGCCACCAGACAGCCATTTTGAATCCGATCTGAAAAATAAATGATGTGCATCAGGAACCTGTAATGTCTAACATATGTACCAAGTTTGAACAAAATCCATCCATAAATACTTGATATTTGATGATTTTTTAGCACAAACATGGCCACCATTTGGCCATTTTGAATAGGATCGTCAAACCAATATATCTGTCTATCTATGACATGATGTATAATGAATATTTAAAATTTGAACATAATCAGTGAAAGCAAATCAGAGATATGGCACGAGAACCACATTCATTAAAACAGTCGGCCATTTTGAATCTTATCTAAAAAACAAAATTATTTGCATCAAGGTCCCATAATGTCTAATGTATATACCAAGTTTGAACAAAATCCATCTGTAAACAGCTGAGAAATGCTTGTTTTTGATGATTTTTAGCACAAAAATGGCCGCCATTCGGCCATCTTGAATCAGATCGTGAAACAAATTGACGTGCATATGTATACTATCATGTATGATGTATGAGTGAAGTTTGATTGTGATTGGTCCAGGCATTTCTAAGATACAAGTCCGGACGCACGCACAGACGCACACACACACACACACGCACGGACACACGAAGGTCAAAACATAAGTCCCCGTTTTCGGACTGCGTCCGAACAGGGACTAATAATTAATTAGCTGAAACCAACATGAAATAAACCATTGGATGACGACACACTTCATCACCCAGTAGTTGCCATGTCAACTATACGTATCGGGCTTCAGGTTTGACCCCATAACTTTAGAAATTGAGTATTGTAATATTCAACTTTCTAAACTGTAGAATATTACACGAGGGTACTCATAATTCTAGAATATGTTTTATGTTAATTTATGCAACCTTTGAGAGAAATTGAAAGCAGAATATCAGTAGATATACATAGTTGTTTCACCAGCGATATAGTTAAATAATTCTTAGTTCACCATTTGTGTTTTCTGGTCTACAGCGACCATTTTTATCATGAAGACTTTTTAGTGAATTGTTGGCGTGCCAGCTTCACATTTCTAGTAGAATCCAACCCCAAAGAAATTTATTCCATTTACACATTTTGTCATGTCTCGATGTTTGGCGTGGTTACACAATAATCAAATCAAACACTGTGAGGAGGTCCCAAATGTTATTTTTTTAATGAAACTAGTAGCTTCGCGGTAAGTGGCTTTCGCGGTAAGTGGATTTTGTATTGTGTGGGTCTCGCGGGGAGTATGGCTTTGTCGCAGTAACTGGTCCATTCATCGTTGTTGAGAATTAAAGTTTTATGTTTCTTTAACAACTTGAGCTATTCTGGGAATACCATCCTTAGAAGCTATTAATTTGCCCTGATGATTTGTGCAGTTGCTCTGGCAAGAGTTCCAATATAAGACCCATGCTCTGATAATGCCCATAGTTTCAAAAACCAAGAAACATTATCATTATGATCTTATTGGTGATAATTGAATATTGTTTATTAAAATTAATGATCCCCATAACCCATTTCCAATATAGATAAATTATAGTACATAACAAAAATATATAACTCAGTCTCAACAATGAAATAAAGAAATGTATATATATATATACATATATATATTGGCGATCCGCTCCGCTAAGATTGCCCTTATAATCACTTTGCTGGCTTTGTGTGTGTGTCTGTGTGATTTCCAGTGTTTTCACTTATTATTTCTTCTGTGATATTTTTGGCTTGGCCGATTTCGCTCAAACTTGGCCGGTAGGTCACACCTTCACCCTTTTTATTAGGAAAAATCTGAAAAAAAATATGGCCCACCATTGCCATAGCAACAGCCAAAAAACTGTTTTTTTGGATAGCTTTGCGCCAAATGTATCTCCTACAAATTTGGGAGAAAACACCTCAGACATAGCTCATTCTACTCAGCTTGAGTGTGGGCAAAAAGTTACTATTTGAATTTTTGATATCTTTTTTAATTACAGAGAATATTGACCCCAAAGTTGGGATAACTTTCACCAGCAACGGCTTTTAACTGCTCTGTGATTTTTGTTGGCTTGGCTGATTTTGTCCAAACTGGCAGGCAAGTCGTACCGTCACTAATTGAAAAAAACTTGGCCCACCGCTGCCATGGCAACAGTCAAAAACTGATTATTGAATACTTTCGTCCCAAATTTATTACCTCCTACCAGTCTTGTAATAGCAGTGCTCAAATGATAATGCTTTTTATTTTGGCCACGTTGTGCACTGGTAAGAGATCACCGACGCCAACGTTGTTACACTGTATCAACGTAATCCAACGCAACTTTGAATGAACTGTAAATGCTGGCTTCATTCTAGATAATATTATTGG